CCCTTGACATCAGTGCAGTTGCGGCCGGCTTTACAATTTTCCATGCACGCAACTCTCAAACTCAAGCTTGCTGCACATATGCATGGAGGGCTAGGGTGCATCAACACTCCTCCTCCTTTGGCGATAAAATACCGCCAAATGCCACTCCCGATGCTCATCTGCGCTCGGGAATCGTTCTGCCTTGTAAGACCTTGTAAGAGAGCGGGAAATGTCCATCACAATAATAGCAGACTTGTACTTTCTTCAACCTTGACTTGTTTGCATGTCACAAACCATGACAGTCCGCTTCCAAGTGAAGACGATCTCCATGCTCTGACATCACAAAGGGCGTCCTCAATCTTTGAAATCCCCCTTCTCTTGCTGTGTCCAAAGCCGCCCTCAGGTCCGGATCATCTTCTTGCATCCTTGTAGTAGGTCTCGTGTGCCTGGTAGCCTCATTCATAGGGCCCTGCGACATCTCCGATAGCGGTGTCGTTGCAACCTTCGGTGTGGCAACCGACGGTTTCTCGATGTTGATAGGGTCTGAGGAGCTAGCACTCATCGACTCCAACTCCTGTTGCAGTGCCTTTGAGGCCTGGTTCCGAATCCTCAGCAGCTTTCTGGCCTTTGTCACGGTGGCTTCATCCTCCCCGAATAGCCTTTGCGCCACCCACTGCATAGCTTCCCACACCGCCAGCAAAGCAATTCCAGCAACCAACATGAGTACATAAAACTCCACACTGCCGTCGTAGTCCAAAGGCTTCTTGTTGTAGATGCCCGTGGCCTTGACCCCTGGAATCCTTGAAACCATCATCATCCACGCCATCATCCTCAGTAGGTCATAATAGTCCCCGCCCTTTAGACTCCGAACAATGACCTCCTCCTCGTCCGCCTCGAAGTCTTCTGCGGCACACATCCCCCACAGCTTCCGCAGATCCACCAGCCTCGCGACTGGCACTGGTTTCGTACCCATATCCGCTGCCTGTACCTCGCCTGGGGTGTGCACCACTTTGATTCGGCCCTCGTTGGTCTCAAACCGCAGGTGTCTTGCCTTCACCTTCAAATGCCTCGTCTTCCATGATCCAGGCGAAGTGGTTGCCAGACCAGAGGCTGCAGTGTTGTCCACCCTCAGGATCAACGGCTTTCCGGCATCCTGAGGGGACACCTCCTCCACCCAAGCTTGCAGTCCGGCTGCTTGCTGACTGGCATTCACTAGCTCCACCAGCTCTGCTTCCGCTGCAGACAACACCACTGTAGGCTGTTTTGTCATACGCCATGCCGCGAAACCACCGTAGGTCGCTGTTGTCACGCAGCCAAAGCTTCGATCACCCTGTGGAGCAAAGCTTGCGTCTGAATATGCGCTTCCACAGGCTCTCCCACTCCATTGTATGTCAGCCCCCATGTAGGTGTTGCGGCCAAGTATCTCACCACCATTTTCCCCAGTCGTATTGCAGCGATAGGACTCTTCAAAGCTGTTGCACAAACATGGGCCGTAGCATAGCCAATGTCCGGCCGAGTACGCGTCACCAACCATAGCAGTTCTCCTGCCATACGTTGCGCTTGCTTGACCTGGCTCGGATCTGGGCCCTCCTGCTCGGATACCTCCTCCTCATCTTGATCATCCGATGAAGGCATGGTGTCCTTGGTAGCTGGAACTTGCGAAGGTCTACTCGCCTCCATTGGATAGCTCTTCAGGAGCTCGCCCACATAGCTGCCCTGTGACACGTGAAAGCTGGTGAGAGATCCGTCTTTCCGCCGAATGTCCGTGCCCAAGTAGCGAACAGGAGCCTTCCCCAGCCACTCCATTGGTGAGCATTTCCAGCCCTTGTCCTCCTCCACACCCACTGTGAGCCACTCATAGATGTCCTTGACCACTTGCTCTGGTCCCAGCATCATGACGTCATCCACATAGATCACCATCAACGCCAGGGTAATGCTCCGGTCATTGCAAGCTACCAGCCTCCACACCGCAGGGTCTGTCTCCATCTGGACAAACATGCATTGCTGACCTCCCACTGTAAGCCGAGCACGTTGAACTCGCTTGTCCCTGAAACTTCCCCACAGCCTTGGTGCTTCTCGTAGCCCGTAGAACACCCTGTCCACTAAATACGCTGTGTTTGGCGGGACCACTCCTGCCTCCACAACGACTTTCGGTACAGTAATTCCGTACCTGGCCGACGCTTCATCCATAGGCGCCAGGGTAAAGGCGCTGTTCACGTCGGTAACCGCGCCGAACCACCGACGATGCGCCGCGAGTGACAACGCCACTCGCACTGATTCCGCGTTGGCCGCGGCCGTGTAGACTTCAACCTCATTACTGACGTAATTGCCACATATCACCATTCTTGTCTTTCTCTTGTACATCTGGTTGCCACCTCCCGCCGAAGGAGGTTTTATGGCGTGTACTGTCTTGGACGGTACGAGGACAATCTCTCCGGCATCCGCGAGGCGCTTTGCTTCTGACAACGATATACGACGAAGCGTGCCAGATGTCTCTAAAACTTCGATCTCTTTTTGAATGCTCTCTCGCCACCTTTCCAAATGACGCTTCACCTCCTGGAGCTCTACACCATGCACGGTGTCAATCGGCATGACCAAGGCCTGAAGCATCTCCTCGATCTCTGGAGTGGCCTCGGTCTCCTGCATCAACTTCATCATGCTCATGGTTGCTTGCTCCCTTGCCTGATGACTCAAGCACAAGATCTCGTTCATGTAGTCGATGGCATCATCCAGCTTGTAGAACAGCTGTCGCTCCCGTTGTGTAGCGTACTCGCCACGCTCAGCTTGTCTGGCCTTGATCTTCCGCTCCTCTTCCACAAACTCCGATAGCCACGTGACTCTGCTCCTCATCCGCTCCTCCTCATCGTGTGCAAGCGGTAATAAAGGAGCTGACGTCATCACCACCTCCTCTCCTTGACTGGCCAAGTCGGGTATATACTTGATGGCCCACTTCAGCCTGAGCTCCACACGGCCACCCGGGACAACCACACTGTCCAAAAGCTCGCCGCCCATCTCCGGAAGAAACTCTCTTTGACCTGACCTTGACCCTGACGAAGAAGATTGTAGTGTATGAAGTGCTGGGGTGCCAGAGCTCACGTCCATGCGATCTTCAGACACCGGCCTTGGAAGAGTAGACTCACTTGACGACCCAGGTCCCAAGAAGCTTGCTCCCGATGCCATAGTCGTTCCGGTAACTCCGGTCGTTGGGATCGCTGTTGTCCCAGTATTCTGGACCACGTTCCCAGAGTCGGGCTCTGGAATTGGAGGTGTAGGTGGTCTCCTCCTCTCACCGGCATTCATCATCTTGACTACCGGCTCCCTCTCTGGCAATACGAAGCTCATCTCCTCCAAATCATCACATTGGTGCTGGCTAAGCTTTTCCCATTTGCTCACCGTGTAACCTATGACCACAATGCGATCTCCATCTTCTCCCCGTAGCGGTGCATGTAGTCGATCTGGGCGCACTTTGTTTGGAAGCTCCACACTCGACTTCTGACCTGATACTTCCTTTCCAGCCACCCACATAGGATGATAATTGCCCCGGAACTCATCCCCCTCCTTGAGCTCTTGCCACACGCAACTCCCCTTTGCCACCTTGAGAGGCTAGATCAAGTTCATCGCCTTCTTGTGGTTGAAGGAGTCCTGGTGTACAGGCATCACCGCATTCTTGACCAAGGCCACAGACGTAAACGAATATCCCGGGTGGTCTAGCTCCAGAAGTCGCGTAGCTAAAACCGCCTCCTTGTTGAACTTCTCGGTCGCCCTGGCGACACTTGTGATCCCACCGTGTTGGTAGGCTCCCAAGTTGATGTATGCGGCTCCATCCCAAATCTCGCCATCCTTCATCTGAGGTCTCTCCACTTTGGCCTGAGGTGAATCCCATATCTTGGACTCCAACAGCTCCTTCACCAACGCGTTCCTCTCTTGCTTACGGATGGCCCGCACCTCAGGATCGCTCAGCTTGGTTTTTCCCCGCACCCGCTTCGTAGGTTCAATGAGGTCCACAACGTGCTCTTCATCTTCAAACTCCACTTCGCCATCCCTCACAGTCCTCATGCGCAGCGTACGAAGCCATAGACCATCATCCAAGCGAATCACATGGCCACCGCGAACATCATCTGCTGGACCCATATATTTGCCTCGTTCCCACTTCGGGTCGAACGGTCCTCTTTCTTTCTTGGACTTCACCCAGACAACGGAACCAAACTTGACGCTCTCCACCTTTGTCCCGAGCTGTCTTGCATTGTGCTGAAAACAGGCATGCTTCATCGCACACGGCCACAGCTCCTTGTCCAACTCCATCTCATTGAGGTGTACCCTCGCCTTGTTCTTGAGCCACTTCACATGACTCTCTGCCACCGCGTTCTGAGTAGGCGCAAGTCCCTCAGTGAACGTCTGGTAGATGTCGCGGTCTCGACACCACTTTCGAACCGGCTTGACTCTGAACTCCCGAGCTCGATCGCTATGGATCCTTGTCAACGGTAGACCCATCGCCCTAAGCTGCACATACAGATCCTGGATGCACTCGAGGATCTCCTTGCCAGTGTGCCGCTCCAACGGAATACAAAACCGCAACATTTGCAACTCGATCGGCTTGCTAAGGTCCGCAACCTTCTTCTTCCATTCCCCCTCCTGGGCCACAACCTCTGGATCATCCCCAACTTCGGGTGGTTGCATTTCGTCTTCCTCCTCCTCTCTGAGGAATTCCTCTGCCTCCTCCTCATTCGGAATGGGGATATCCTCGGGCACTTCCCTGACCTTCGGATAGAGATAGGTCGCCGCAAGCACGAATCTGTATCTTCGTCCACGAACTTCATCTCTGCCTTTGTCCGCAAACGGACCTGCAATGTCCAGGCTCATCACGTAGGCGTCTCTATGAATCACCCTCCTCGCTGGTCTTCCCGTTCCCGAGGCAGCCAAACAAACCGAACAGTCTCTTCTGTACGGCCAATGTCCCCTTTCAACATGAGCCTTCCATTCTTCGAGCTCCTTCTTGGTCATGGCCTTCCTCAACACCACAGGGCTCTCACCATTTCTCCATTCATGGATCGCGTCCACCACGGTGATTCGAAAACCATGCGGCCACACGGACTGGTCAACATCCTTCGTGTCCGCTGCCACATAAGACCTCTGATCCTTTCGCCCATGTATTCCCAAGCTCAAGTTGCTCAGGCAACACGTAGGTCTTCTAAACATGTGTCCCAGCGCGCCTTGCTCGAACTGGTACTTGAAGAGGTTGCCCAATAGACCCGGTTAGACAAAATC